GTGGCCCAAAGAATTCCTAACAAGTGCCATAGTAAGTATAAGTATGTGGAAGGAGAGAAGCCTAAGTAACCTGTGATTATCTGTGTGAAGGCAAAAAGCCTGTCATCATCGCAAGTGGAACTCATACAAACTTCTGGGGAAATAACTGTTTAAAAAAAATCAAAATAAAATATTAATAAAAACACTTTTTCCGGTGGGCAAAAAATTAAAAGAAAAACTTGAATAAACACTTTTGATATATATAACTTTTTTATTTAGATTTCAATATAACTTATTTAAAAATCAAACTATACAATTCGAAGCATTTCAAATGCTCTTTAAACCTTCTTTCGTCACTTTACTATTGAAAGAGCATAATTCGGCTTCCATTACAGTTGTTCACAATATGTCTATGAATGAATTCAAAGAGCTTGTGCAAATATTCCATGAAATGCAAAATTCACTAATCGTCAATATGTTTTCTCCAAATTCTCTATTGGCTACAAAGTGTACATGGTTCTAATCGAAAATGATAAGCTTATAACTATAAGATATACAGTTTGACAACATTTTGTTTAATTTACTTTTATTTAGTTTATTTTTACTTTTTTTATTTATTTCTTCACATCAATTTTATTTATTTTAATTTTATTACATTTTTTAACATTTATTTTGTTTTGCTGTCTTTTACTTTAGTATATCATCCCGGCAGGAAATGTCCACCCCTCCGAGCGTATTTCGGACATGAAATAAAGGCTCCTCATAAAAAACCCGTTCGGAGGCGGCTTAATTGGAAAAACCAAAGACGCAAATACCACAAATTGGAGGATGACCTCGGACGAAAAATCGCTTAAGCGGTTACAAAGCGCCAATTATAGATATATTGTATATATATCGTATGTTTTTGCAAATTTTTTGTTTTATGATATTTTTTATTTTGATTTATTTTTTTGGTTTTATTTTATTTTATTTTATTTTATTTTATTTTATTTTATTTTATTTTATTTTATTTTATTTTATTTTATTTTATTTTATTTTTTCCTTTTTATTTTATTTTATTTTATTTTTTATGAATTTTTCCACGTTTAAGTCAATTTAGTCTAAGGTATCCTAAGCAAACAAATTCTCTAGTGGCACGTGTAGAGTCTTTTAAGCTTACGAAAAATTCATAACGAGTTTTTAATTGAGAATTAAAATCCAACTAATCATATTAAAGGCACGTAAGTCAGCATATGTTCGTAATAATCTGATAAAGTTTGCAGTATAAAAGCGTTTGGGTATTTCGTAATTTCTTTACGTTAGATGTGTGGCAGTAAATAAATTAAATTGAATTATAATTATAAATTCGAAATAATGATGTTTCTATAAGGTTAATAATATAAAAAACGGAATATTCTTGTGAATCATATGCTTCTTCCCTATCTTTGTATTAATTGTTTTAATTAAGGGGCACACCTAGTGAGAAATTTCAAAAAAAATCGATCTTTGTTTTCATATTTCGGTAGATTACACCTCCAAATATAACATATTGAAATTTCATCAAATAGCTTTTGAGTTATATCTTTAAGCGCGCTTTTCTCCAAACAGCATTGCTGCAGTGGATTACCCAAAAACAAATGATCCGATCACTATCGATATTTTTTTTTCCATATTCTGTATATAGTTCTCCGTACAATGACCTACCGATTTTTGATTGGATCAAAAAATCGAAATTTGGCAGGCCAAAAATGATCAAAATTTTGGGTAAAATTCGACTATTTTTTTTTAAAACGCCGCCATATTATCAATTTTTGATTTTTTTATCGTGGGTCATTGTGTAGAATTTATTATGTAGAGGGAACTTTTTTTTAGATTTCATCCACGGAGATGGCCGGAATCACTGCAGCAGTGAAAGATTTTTTTTCGCGCCGTTGGAGATCGACTACAACTTAAAAAATATTTAATTTTTTTCTTCAAAAATTTCACTATATATTCTTGAAACATGTATAAATATATTCTAAAAATTTTTGTATAATTCATAAAGTATTTTTTTTAATAAAAATTCTCAAAAATCATCGCTGTTTAGGCCACACTAGGTGTGTTCCTTAATATTTTAAGTTTTTGTAATTTGTAGTATTGCTTCTGCTTACAGCCATTAGCATCACTTTAGGCTGTTTAGCTGAAACTACTGGGTCTTGAAAAGAAAGGAGAGGAGTTTATTTGTTTTAATCCAAGTTCAATCGATATCTAAATGAAACCGCGTAGATTATCATTTCTAGTTTTTTTTTTAATTGATTTTATAATTTGGAAATACAATACGCTTTGTGGGAATTCGGTCAACACCTGTTCATGGCTTGAAGCAAAATTTACATTCAAATCTTGAGCTAAAATGAGCGTCGTGAAGTGAAATATATATTGGATATATGAAGATTTTTCACGCCATGTCTGCCTTGAGCAACGCATATTTTTCGTCTCAATTTCCCTTCACCTTGCCCGATTGCACTCATTAGTAATACAAAGACGAAGTTACTTCAAAATTAAATTAATTTAAATGTTATCACGAAAACAACCATTTCATTAGGTTTTCAATAAAATTTAAAAGTTTAAAATATTTTTGCATACTTTTTTATCGAATTTTTTATGAAGACTGAATTGTGACTTTAGACAGTGCAACACTTGAAGAATAATTATTGTAAACTAAAGAAAGTTATTAAAATTATTAAATATGAAATCATTTCGCAATGTAGAGAGCCCGCAAGTGGAAATCTGCTTGAAACCTTTTGTTAATGCGGATTTTTTTTTTTTCTTAAAACCTCTCAGATAATTATTTTTTTCAGGCCCTGACTGTATGAGATTTATTTATACGTAATCTCCATTTTCAGCTAATCCAATTAATTAATTGACTTACACAATTTCAATAAAAATGTTGCGTATACGCCAGGGTACATTTTATTGAAGATATTTTTCTTTAAGAAATTGCAATTTATGTTTATTATACATTCAAAATATGTAATTAGTTGAAAATAAAAAACAATTTAGTATATTTATGAAGTATTATATGTAAGTAGTTTTAAAAGAAAATGTTAAGAAGCATGAGAATATCAAAATTTTGATATATTTAAAATAACCATAATCAAAAAATAATGGTAAATAAAATGTTTAAAAATATAAATAAATAAATTTCTTAATGATATGCATACATATATCCAATTAATAATAAGACCTGATAAAAAATTATCCCTTACCTGTTATTTATTTAAAAAAAAATTATCTATTATTATTTTTTTTTATTTTTTATTTTTTTTTTTTTTTTGAAAATTGTAAAAGCTAAAAAATTCTTGAGGAAATTCTAGAATAATTATTAGTCCCATAAGAACTACCCGTTCAAGCAGATTCGCAGTTATTTTACTTATGTTATTTTTACTTATATTTATTTACATATATTTCATTCATAAAAATGGAAGCAATGTGGGTGAGAATTGCGCAGGCGCTTTTAGAAAAAAAGGAGCCGAACATAGGCTTTGGAGTATTCGAGTAAAGTGAATATAAATGAGAATAAAACTCGTGCAATAGTCAAAACAGGCATAAATCATTAGATTGTTTACAGGTGGTTGCCGACCTAAGAGAGTTAAAGGAAGTGGGAAAGAGTCTCAGTTTTTCCTGTTCTACAAAGATGTTTTGTAATATAACAATAAAAATTTATCTTTAAAAAAAAACTGATTTAATAAAAAAGTGCCAATTACCGCTTTTTTTCATTTCTAAAGAAAGCAAAAAATTTTTAAATAATTTTCTAAAGTTTATCAATAATAAAGGTTACTTAAAATGTTTATTTATGGCACATTTGACATGTCTTTTCAAAATGTAATTACTAATCTAAAAAATTATTATTTTATACCTAGGAATTTCAAGAATTTTGTAATACAGCAAAGTCCTGAATATGAAAATGATTTTTTATTACCCTTTCAGATCGTTTTATATACATATATACATATATTTATATATAACTGGCGTTTGTAAACGTTAAAGCGTTTTTCTGTTCGTTTTAAAATTAAAATTTATTTAAAATGTGCGAATTTAAATAATTTTTTTCAAAGTTTAAATTGTATTATTTGTTACAACTACAATCATTAGGTTCAGGATTTAAAAATACATACTAGTATATAATTGAGTATGTACTCAATTAGTTTCAGCAAAAAAAAATATACTTACCACCACACACACAGAATACACTGTTGGTTATTCGCTCTTTTAAAAAAATTAACTCATTCGTGTAGACTTTCTCAAAGCTGTTGCTCTTTATTTCTCTCTTTCTCTCACTACCTCTTCCTCTCTCTGCGACGAATGCGACGAATCCTTTGTGGATATCGTGTATGTGTGATAAAATCGTACATTCCTTACAATCGTGCTTGTTGCCTTCACTATTTTTGTACTTGATTATTTAGTTTCTTTTCGTTTGTTTCCCTAGGCGGATGTGCAACGACCAGTCAACGGTGAAAAATTTATGCGACATAAATTAAAATCACGCTTTGGATATAGCGCATACCAAAGAGAAATAACGGAAGTCAGAAACATTGTGTTGTTAGCGAATGTTGCATTGACGGAGTTGAAGTGAAAGTGAATTTACTATGGCAAATGTTAAATTTTTGGGATATAAAATTAAATTAAAAATAAATAAGTTAAAAAGAAATTCAAAAATGTAGAAAACAAAAAAAAAGTAATAAATAAAATATTACAATAAATTATATAGATAAATAGTCAAGGTGTATAAATAAAGTAAAATAAAATACTAATGTGGAATTAAAATAAAAGTTCTGTGTATTTTAGAAATTTAATGCATTCGATGTTTTGCGTACTAGAAAACTTAAGTTAAATGAAAAAAAAATAATAATAATAATAAGCAGTGCAAAATAATCCATAAAATTTAATACTAAAGTAAATGGATGTGAATAAAAAAATTACTTAAATTAACAAAAAAACATCTCTGAAAATATTTAGATTTTTAAAAAAATATAAAAAAAAATGTCTGTGAGAAAATACGAAAGCGCCATTTAAATGCTACTGCATTACTGATTTTAATTAATCTGTGTACGATATTTAAAGTATCGTTATCTTGCAAGTGTTACTACATTAAGGTAAAAATACTACCCTCTTATTTGAAATTAATAGATAAATTTCAGTGTAAAAATTAATCGAAAAAATTGAACATTTTCTCTATATAAACTTATTTCACAAAAAAAAAATTATTTAAAAAATTTTTTTTTTAATTTTAATATAAATTTTTCAGTAAATCTGATAAATCGGACCATTTCAAAAATTAAATTGAAAGCGCAAAAAAATTAGAAATAAATATTTGTATTAATTGAATTGAATTTTCGTATACAACAACTCTCACTTCTACCACTTTTTTCGTTGTATAAAAAAAATTTGTTCAATTCATACCAAAAAAAGGATTATATTTCATTTTACAACGACTTGGATGTACATTTTGCATTTTATCGAATCTCAATTTGACAAAAGTTTCCTAGTTTATTTTAAAAGAGTCCAACTTTGCTGCTTATCCAGCCAACCATGGCTTTCTTTTATTATCGATACCAACCAAATACACGGTATATACGGTTATCTTGTTTGAAAACTTTTCACTTTGAGCTTTGCCAAATGTAGTGAGAATTTAACTGTGGCTCAATTTTTAGATAAATAAATTCATAAACCCTGCTGGAAACTGATCCCAATTTTACATGGACAGAGAATAAACAAATTTATACTAGTAATCTTTTTCGATAAATTAAATTGTAATGTTAATTTTCGGTAGCGGTTTTTGAAGTTTGGAGCATCGAAAATATTTTTTGACCTTTTTTTATTTATTTTCCACCTTTGGCTTTTCCTGACTACGGAAAATCAGAATTTCTGATAATTACATAATTGATGATTTTTCAAAATTTGGTTGGTATATCATATAGAGAATAGTTTAATTTAGTCAAAATGTGCAGCAATATGTATTGTATTTAAACTTTTGTGCCGCGTGATTTCATGTTTTTAATGAATTTACCGTTATTTACCCGAATTTGCCGAAAAATAAAAATATCTGAAAATACAAAGTATTGACTACCTTATGGATTATAATTTAGGTCACAATTGGGCTGCGGTTATTCTATAAAGATGTCATTAGAATTAAAAATATTTCTTTTTCAATTGTTTTTGCAAAGAAAAAATTCTAAATAAAATGAGTTTCCTACAGGTCAAACATTCAAATTAACATTCACATAAGTGTTATCCCCTTACTAGAGGCCTATAAATATGTGTCTTTATATGTTTGAAAAAGTTTTAATGCCAGAAATTGCATTACGATTATCGTAAACTAAACTTATACATATACATATGTAAGTGGAAATTCAAAAGCAATAACTTTTGTAACTATTTAAATCGATTTCATAAAAGTTAGCTGCTGCCAAGAATTGGCTATTTGAACAGCAGTTCGGAGACGACCGGGGATAAACTGATTATAAAGAAAGGAATACGTGCTTCTATTGCTTACAACATCATCAAGAGGCATACCTTTGTAATACCAAATGGAGATTCTGTTCAATTTGAGCTGCTGTAGTCATCACATAGAGCATGAACGCTTTTTTCGTAGTTTAAGTAATCCTTGATATCTAATTGTAATACCACATCTCGTCCTATGAGCTGCAAAATCCTAGGTATCTAAGTCGAATTATATGTAAAGCCGTACAGAAGTAGAGGAGGTGTTTCAGCGTCTCGCTCAAACTCACTCTTCCTTGCACTTTCTGCATGTATTAGAGTTAATGCTGTCCATTCGGTTCGGGAATGATACCAGGGGATTGAGGCCTGCCAAAACGCAATTGATGTAATCTTTTTTTAACCACAACAGCTGCTTTTTTCCCCTCGGTACTCTTGCACATGATCCTGGCGGTTGTGCATTAAGGCATTTCATCTCACTCTGACCTGCCTGCCCAATCGAATATTTCATTGAACTTCATTTTTAGCACCTTTCCTGTATTGGTTCGTTAGGCAGACGAATAGCTCTTCTGGATTTCATTATACCATATGCAACCGCTATCTAGCTAAAGGCATATCTGTCATCTCCCTGAATCTGAGAATATGTTATGTCAATACAAATTCACTTTCTAATAGCAAAATATATGTATTCCCACAAAGATAACTAATTAAGTAACTAGTACATTTACATGTAATACACAAAAGTAAATTTCAAATAAATCTTTGACCAGTAAACTCATTAATTTAAATGGTGTAATTCATTGATTTTTAAGACGCTTTTCAACTTTTTATTTATAAATTGCTTAAGTTATTGCAGCATGGAAGTGTAGTGATTTATTGAGTTAAAGAAAAGCAATAAAAAGGAGGTGAAGTAGGAGAAAAGGAAAAACTGTGGAAGAAAGAGTGTGGTATGAAGATGAAAATGTAATTATTTACCGGCCTATTCTCACTGCTACCGGTAAAGTAAAATTTCTTACTTTTTTTTAACATCCGAAAAAGAATTTGACATTCTGGCGGACTGGTTACAATGTCCGCAGCTTTGGCAGCACTGCTTTCTTCGTCCATGCCAAAATACAATTGCCAGTTGGCAAAGTAAAAACGAAGGATATTCATATATATTTTCGCATTTCGTTTGTTGTTGGAAAGAAAAATTTTCCCGGCTTTCACTTTGACAATCAAATTTGAAATAGAGTTCAGTGATCGGGAAACAAACGGTTGGTTCATTGCAGTTAGACAATTTCCCCCAACGAATTCCCGATACGACCTGTGGGAAAAGAAATTTTGTTGTTCTGAGAAACCACAAATAAAGCGGCAATGATGTCTTCGGATTAAAAAAAAATTTTTGATTTTAAATTTATATACGAAAATGAGCATTTATTCCATTTTCGTATGATGCCAATTGATTTATAAGCTTTAAACAAATGGTTTGGTACAGGCGAAAATACTGAGCGACAAACTAAAATGGTAATTTTTTTCCCGCAAACTTCTTAACATAAATTAATTCTAAACGTAAAATATGTCTATACATTTGAGGTTTTTAATTTTTTACAAATTAACAACACAAAATCGAACAGCTGATTTTTTGTTACCTCCTATTTCTCTGGTAACAACACTTGCAGGGCGACAGTGCACTTAGAATGCGAAATAATAAAAAAATTTAGAGAATGGCAAATTTTAATACCCAAGTAAATTTTGTTACTTCGACAGAATAGGCCCGCTAATGTTAAGTTTCAGCTGCAAATTGATAATAAAAATAGTAGTCAGCTTTTAGGCGTTCCACTAGTGAAGAGATTTTTAACTGTCGTGAACGGTGTCAACATATTAGTTTGTTCCACAAAATTATTTCTACCCTTCGAAAATATCCGGATTTGCGTTAAATAAACAACATTTGGGGGAAGTTTTTGAGTGTCTATTTTAATAGGAAAAAAAATGTTAGTGAATAATATCAAATGCTTGTAAAGATGTATGGTGAATTTTCGTCGACCCTTAAGGCATGTATTAGTAGCTTAGACGCTTTAAAAATAGTGACTTTAGCGTTGAAGAGAAATTTCGTCGTCGTTATCGACTAAAACGAGTGCGTTTGAGCTGGTCTTTGTGTGAGAAACGACCGAAAACGACCTAAAAGCATGTTAAAGTGATTTTTCAACATGACAAAGCTTGACCGCACGTGGCTGTCACGGTCAAAAACTAACTAAAAACTATGAAACAGAAGGTTCTACCCCACACTGCATTTTCCACATCTTACTCTTACCGACAACTGACTTTTTTGATGGATGCAAAAGGGTTTGGAGGTCACTGGCTAGGCTATTTTGCAAAAAGAGTATGCCTCAATGATGGAATCAAGGGCAGAAATGTTTAATTTTTTAGAAATGGTATTCGAAAATTACCAGAGAAATATGAAAAAGTATACGCTTTTAACGGAAGATATTTTTATGATGTATTTTTTACACTTAAACATTAGAACGCGAGGAAAAAAGGGTTAAAAGAAGGTTAATTGTGCGTCAAATAATTTAACCAATAAAAAAACACTCGCTTGTCTGTCTATTAATATTAACAAAAATGAATTTATAAAAAATTTATCATGTTCAAAATTTTCTTCATTTTTTTCAAGATAGTTTTTTTATTAAAAATATTTACAGCAAATTTCTGCACAAGAGGAAAAGGAGTCTCATACCGCATTTAATATACATAAATAAATACACTCTTCATTATCATTGTTTTGGCACATCTTTTCCTAATTTAGATTGCTTTATTGTTGTTCATTTAGGTACTCTGTTCTACTGAAGGCAAAATAAATGGTCACAACAAGAGGAATACATAATAAGCTATTCCTAGTATTGCTATATGCTTATTCTTCCATAAATTTACACAAACACAATTTTCGATATATATATATATATTTATATAAGCATAATTTTCTGCAAAATTTCCATTTACGTTCGGCAATACATCCTTTTTGTGTGAGCCTGCACATGCTATAGTATTTACTTATAAATGTACATATGTATATATAAATATATGCGTATAAATTTATCATCGGTAGAATGTGAGTTTTTCTCTTAATACATGTAAAATACGAGTTTATAAACATAAGTATGTGTGTGTACATATTGTTCACACGTTTTAAAACTAATAACTTTTGTTCGGTTAGTTTTCTTTGTCTACACTTTGCCTTTTGTTTAGTATTGTTGGCTGCAGTTTCGACAACTCGTGGTAAAAAAAATTCTATTCTTTGTTTTTTCCTCGTTTCTCTCTACTTTGTATTATCCTTGCTGCGAATATATTATAAATAGAAGTGAAATGATTTTCGTTTGACAACAAACCGATTCCGATTCTGTGATGGATCTTTTCGGAATGTTTTTCTCCAAATAAATCATTCTCGGCAGGAAATGTCAAGACCTCTGTACGTATTTCTAACGTGAACTAAAAGCTTCTCTTAAAAATCTAAAGGCCTTTCGGATAGGAAAATACACAGACAAGTTGGAGGTGGAGTTCGGCCGAAAATCTATAACGCCAGTTACAGACACAGATAGTAGTCACTTGGTGCGAGGCCCGGACTATAAGCTGGATGCATAAGAACTGTCCAAGCAAACTCTCCGAGCTTCTGCAAGTCATAATG